ACGTTGTCCATTCTTACATTCCTTTATGAAACAAAGCTAATTTTACATCTTTGATCGGTTAATTCATTAATCTGTTCTACTGTTATGTTCTTTTTTCTTTAATTCCTCGAAACTTAATTGACCAGTCAACCAAGAGAAAAACACTTTTTAGTCCACTCTGTTGGATTTCTACTCGTGCTACTAACTATAACCATCTTTAAAGTCTGCTTATATTCATTCGTGTAAGTGATTAATAACCATACATCTGAAAGTTGTTTTTTTAATAACATTCAATTGTTTTAATTTTAATTGAATGTTTGTAAACAGAACACCTGTATAATAGATCATTTGGTTTCTGTACTCTAAATTATAGCAGTACTGTATATAACAAGATGTAAATCCATCCCATAAGTCATGTTGTTTGTGTTTTTAAACTCTACTATACGTCATGTTGTAACCTATTCAAAATATAATATAATTTTTTTTTTTAAATATTTGTTTGTAATTAATGTAGCGACCGTTTTTTATGTACTGTATCAGTTTAAGGACTAACGTCAAACTTGATTGTTCTGAAAAACCGAAAAAAAAAGCAATTAGAATTTAAGAAAAAGGATAAATCAGAGTAATTAAGAACTAGAGGAGGAGCGAGGGGTAGCATTGAAATTAGGGAAAGCGAGAGAGAGAAGACAAGAGCATTTAATGCCTCTTTGTTCGTATTCTCTGCACATTCAATTTCTATCAGATTCCAAATTTCTTCTTTTATTTCAAGAAAATAAAATATTTCTAGCTCGTACTTTTTTTTCTTTTTACAGCTACTATTATTTTCAATTGATACATTAGATGGGTTTTAGACTTTTAGTTCTACGGTGAAAAAGCTGTAAAAGAATTTTAAAAATACCGAATATGAAATTGTAACATAGAAAAATATAAAAGCCGAAGAAAGAAGTATATGTAAAAAGTGTGGATCTCAAGGTAATAAACATAAAGACCCTTAATTTTTCGAATGTCTATTGATGAGACCCTTACTTGTCAAAAACTTTATTCACTGTATTTTTAACCATTTCTTCGACATATCTCCATCAATCTTTTTTACCCCTCTTCATCTCCGAACATACCTATATCGTATACGTGTGTGAGTATACGTTTGTTTTTACGTATATACACTACCGACCAGCATATAGAAGAATTTGTCCCCGTAATTTGTGGTGTATCCAGACTCACAATACAAAATTTACACTTAGTGCCACGAATTACGAGTCTCAATATTAAGAGTTCGAGTTTTGATTTCGAGAGTTCACATGTGTTATATATCAGGTTCGGAAAGGTTATTATTCAAAAGTTCAAAATTTGTTGGTAATAAAGAACCAAATTACATAATGTTAGTTCAGTATTCATATTCGTATTATTGGTCGAAATCATATACTCCATAGTAGTACTAAACCCTTTTTCATCGACAACCAATCTACATATTACGTAACGGCTATATATCATGGATTAATAATTGTTTTATCATGACATGCTGTGATTATGAGTTTATGACAAAAGAAAAAGGCATATGATAAAACATGGGCTATATAGTTCTCTTCGGACGAGTCCAACCAATGTCAGTTTATTTCGCCATGTTAATGGGCCTTATAAATCTAGTATGGCGTTTTGGGCCTTTAAAAGAAATAATGCTCTCTTTCACTCTCTCCTTTGAGAAAATAAAAAGACAAAAACAAAGGTGAATACTATAAGATAAGATAACACATAACACATTTCAATGTAAAAGGATAAGCTTCTTCTTTTCGGTCGAAGTAAATTATATTGTTGTAATGGTCTCGGACCTTCGGTGGTGGAAATAGATCGAAACCTAAAAGCAAAAGAACAAAGCAACATGACTAAATCAAGTGAGGAAGGTCTTTGTTCCGACAAGGTCAGCACTAGAAACCATCTCACACCTAATCTTTTGTTTTCTCTTGACGATAGTAGTATTATCAGTTTCTGTGACTAATACTATTAAAAAATTATGTAGCTAACATAATTTAATTAGTTTAGATAATCATGACAATTTAGCGATTAATTATCTTCCATGTACAATGGAAGTACTTGTACTTCAACATACTGTAGATATTTTCCACGTAGAAAGGGAAACCAGACAAGAAAAAGGAAAATTCTAATACGGATAAAGTTCATGTCATATCATTCATTGCTTTAGCAATCTTCTCTTCTTTCATTTTGTTTTCTTTCTAATTTCGTTTATCCTTTTTCAAAAGTCGTAATCGGTAATCTGTAACATATTGCGACTTTACTCTATTTTCTATGAAGTGTAATCTCTGCTTCAATTGTTAATCTTATCTATATTTTGCAGATTTTTTTGTTTTGTCGATTTCTCTAACATGCTTATTTAAGATTTTACGATCCGTGAGATTCGGTGTATATATATTAAGTAAAACATATTGATCTAATGGTGGATTTGTTTGTCTAATCGCTCGGTAAGAACTAAGAAAAGTCGAGCCGCTTTATTTCCCAACATCGCTTTAACGAGTAGTAGTAGTTAAAGAAGTAGGGCAAATTGTTGGCCACTTGAGTCGTCTGTGACAAAGAATTTACGATTACTATATCCTTTTCGATAATAACATTATAAAACCAATGATGATTTTGACCAAAAGTAATTAGATATTTCATTTTCACCTATTAATTCTATAAAGTTATTATCATGAAAAGATAAGCTTTTTTTAAGACGGTGCGAAATGTCACTTCCTCATTGGCACTCGTTGGCATCATAGATATCTCGACACTGTTTAGATTTTCATAATACATATTAATTCGATCTAATAATAATATTCATAATACATATTAATTCGTTGGCATCATAGATCTATTATCGATCCATTACGAAATTATGAAATAATATTATTTTATATATACTTCCAAGATAGTTGGAAAATATCTTTTTTTTCCTATGACTAGTATTGTAAGGACAAAAAAAGAAGTGTAGTAACATAGACGGAAGACCAAAATCATGAAAAGAAAAATTCCAACGAGATTAAATCCTAGTAAATAACAAAACAAGTGTAGTTAGGATGAGGAGTACGTAATTACTTACCGTGAGTTTAGTTGTTGGACAAAGTTCTAGCGGCAAGACAAATTATGTGTTTTACAAGATAATATAAAGAACTTTTTTAAAATGCACATATGATTTCTTTTGCCTCTAACAATATAATAACACATAACGTCGTCACAACTAAATAACTAAGATTGAGTATCATGCACCAGGTTAAATTACTAGATACAATGTAAAGCAATCTGACTAGATCAGAGATGAAATCATCGACAAAATTTTATGACGAAAACTAGATTAAAGAAAAAGAGAAGTGGCAATCTAAACTATAAAACTTGCCCGTTGAAAACTAGCCAACTGGTTGTGTTCATGAAGGATGATAGTGATTTTTGCTTTGGGACATCAAAGTTGATAGAAGAGATGACGTGGCTGTTGTTTGATGGTGGTGTCTGAATATTTTTTGTCCAGCAAAAGTTCACAGGTGTCACCGTTAACATAAATATCGTCGTTGCTGATAAGAGCCAAAGGAGAAGACAAATTGTTCAATTCTTTCTAATTAATTTCTGAAAAACGGTTCCTTGTCTTGTTTGTATTCGTAATCTCCTCGACTTGCCGCGTGTGATTTTTGTTTCTTTTCTTTTTTTCTTATACAATTCATTTCATTTAGACTTAAAAGCGAAAACCTCCCAAAAAAGCAATTAGGAATTAGGATTATCAGTATGGTATCACGTTCACAATGTTTTTTTTTGTTGTTTTCGTAATTAGCGAATGAATTGTGATAGCAAGACTCAAAGGATGAAAGAGAATGATCAATTCAAACTACGTTATACTTATATTGTTGTATATGTTTTGTTTTTCAAATATCTTATATACTTATATGAAATAAAACTAGCGCTTGAAAAATGCCATGTCTAGATGGCCAGATTCCATCTGATGTTTGTATTAATTAGTCAAAAGATATCTCCGACAAGCAAGGTGAACGTAAACCTTAAACTAATCACAAATTAAAGCAAGAATATGTTGCTTTTCACATTAAAACTAATATTTGTTAACTTGTTATCGTTATCGTGAAGAAATTAAAGTCTATATGTTCTCGTTCAAATCTTGTTTCCCGATTAACAAAAAAAATTCTGGTCTTTTATGCTCAGGATGAACATAGTTTCTTTTTAGTTTTTGGAAACAGTAAACATAACGAAAATACTGTAAAATCTTGATGCCTAAAATAGGAAGTAACGATATTACTTTAAGTAACAATTGAACTCGCAGAAGGTAATTAACCGGCCAATTTGCATGGAAATTGTTACGTGCGGTGAAGGTAAACATGTATCTATAAACCAATTATCTTTTGCAAGAAAACGTAAGAAAAAAAACAAATCGAGGTGTTAAAATTTTAATTATCCATTTACCTCAGTCTCGCACGATATTACAAATACAATATAGTACTAATTAGGTGAAAGGTATATGGACTGAGAGTAAGGTTCAAATCATCCCACAATATTTTTAGTTATATGATTTAGCTAATGCTGCAAACATTATAAATACATAGAAAGAGTTTTGTAGACGTTTTAACTAAATGTTATTTTATGATATATTTTTCCAAAAGCTAGAACTGCATATAAAAGAAATAAAAAGGTAGAAATTATTAATCAGTAGTTAGATGATTAGTTCGCAATTTGAAATGAAACTCGACTTAACAAGTGATAGCGACGACTCTAGAAGCAGCCAAAATCCGCCCTATTGCTACCTGTCGACCCACGAATCGTTTAGCTCAAAAAAGAATATAAAACTCACAATAAAGCAACCCAAGGCTCATATCTTATTCAAGAAATTAAAAATAAAATTTATAAATTATTTAACTGTTAACATGATAATCTCAGCACTCAACACACATATATAGAGAGAGCCAACATCACAAACAACAGAGATTCCAAAAAAAATAATAATCATAATTCCTCTCTGAGGGGAAATTCCGATTTAAATGACAGAAGAAGGAGAATATTCCCAGGGGATGATGATGATGTCAGCAGATCCATTCATGTCAATGAAGAAGATGAAGAAGAGCAAGAACAATCAGAGAAGGTTTAGTGACGAGCAGATCAAGTCGCTGGAGATGATGTTCGAGTCTGAGACGAGGCTTGAGCCAAGGAAGAAGGTTCAACTAGCAAGAGAGCTCGGGTTGCATCCGAGGCAAGTGGCTATATGGTTTCAGAACAAGAGGGCTCGTTGGAAGTCGAAGCAGCTTGAGACAGAGTTCAACTTTCTCAGACAAAACTACGACGACTTGGCTTCTCAGTTTGAGTCCCTCAAGAAAGATAAGCAAGCCTTGGTCTCTGAGGTATGTTCTTAACAAAACTCTGTTTTTATCTTTACATAAAAATCTCTGCTTTTGATAAAGATGTGATCAGATGATTAAAAGTCTGTGCCTTTGTGGTTATAAACTGCAATTAAAGAGTAACAAATCTGTGTTTTCTGTTTTGTAATAAATAAATTAAATACTCCAATTAAGGACTGATTTAAGAAAAAAAGCTCTGTTTTGACAAAGGATTGATCTTTTTGCAGTTACAGAAGCTAAAGGAGGCGATTAAGAAAACAGAGGAGGAGGAGAGGAATTGTTGCGGTGGTGATCAAGCGGTGGTTGCTGTAAGCAGCACGGATCATGAATCGGAAAACGAAGAGAAGACGAGGAGAGAACCGGAGGAGGTTAGGCCGGAGATGGAGATGTGTGAGAAGGGTCATGAGGAGGGTTTGTGTGATCATGATCATAATCATGATGATGATGGTTACAATAAGTACAACATAAAGAGAGAGTATTTTGGAGGGTTTGAGGAAGAAGCAGAGCAGATGATGAACATAGTGGAACCAGCTGATAGTTGCTTGACATCGTCTGATGATTGGGGAGGTTTTAGATCAGATACTACAACTACTCTCTTGGACCAATCCAGCAGCAATTGCCCATGGTGGGATTTTTGGCCATGAAAAGCTCTCTTGGACCACTCATTTGAAGACTATAGAGAGATTGGATGGATACAGTATTCATATCGAACATTTGGCCAGTGTCCTCCACCACAAGAACCGAGCCATGGATAGAGAGAGGTGTTCGATCCCTCAAATGACTCGTCGACAGCACTGGAATTTGAGATGAAATCTCAATGGTTTTCTTTGTATAAATTGTGTTAGAAATAAAGTCGTATATTCTCAGTTAGTCTTTATAGTTCTGTTTGTGGTAGTAACTAGTCATCATGCTTTGTAGCTAAGTAGTAAGTTTAAGAAGACTTTATTTGGATGAATAAAAATTTAAAGGCAGAGAGAATCACACGATGTAATTTATAGTTATGTCTGAAGATGTAGAGATCAATGGTTTAGTGGTCAAAACATTGATATTTGGAACACAAAGAGCAAGATTAAATCCACTTAACGTCTTCTTAACACAAAGCAGAACCAAATTGCAAATCAGGAGTTGAAGAATATCATTATCGGCAGGGTAAAATACAACATCAAACACTAGTTGAATCGATACGACGACGGGAAACAGAACCACGAAAAGGAGATTTCTTGCTTCGTTTCGAACAAACTTCTTCTCCGATGAGTTTTTTAAAGTTTTTCTTCTTGGCCTCTCGTGCCGATAATTCGATCAAATTAATACGACGTCGTATCTAAGCTACAGACTCTATGGGTTTTCTCGCTATCAAGATTCAAGAGGAACTCTATTTTATAAACGGGCTTCAATATATTGAGCCCATTTGCTAGGCCTTTGACAGCCTTTAATGTTTTGGATTTTAAAAGCTATTCCTAACGAACTACATACATGTAAGTCACATAGATACATCGGATTCGTATGCTAAGTCTTTGCAATCAATATTTGGCATAAGAGGGTCAGTTGTATACTTCGTTGACACACTCGACTTTTCAATAGTTACAATGTCGAATAAATCAAAGGCCAGTTATGGTTTTGATTAGAAAATAACAAAAACAAAATTAGAAGCTTATCCATTGTAAAAGAAATTTGACAATATCGTGTATACCGCGTGTATAATGAAGAAATTAAAAATATCGATGCAGTCAAAAGTATTCAACGTGTGCATATATAAGCGAGAAAAAGAGGATGCTGCGAAAGTTTTTGGTATGGGAATTTTCAAGTGAGATAGAGAGTCTTTGCATGCAAGCTGAGTCTACGTGACTCCATCAACACACTTTAGTTATCGGAATCAAATCTTCATCTAGCTCAGACTGTGCGATCGAATCTTGAAATGTTTTATTCCATCAGCGCATTAATTCAGTGTTTGGAAAACACTATAGACTATAGCTATGTAATTCAGTGGGTGGCAAAACTAATAGGCAATAGCTATATTATTTTGTGGGTGGCCTTGAGCATAGAGGCATTTAAGTGTAACAAGGTTGTGCAGAGCTGCTAGATTCTCTTTCAAATATTTTATTACAAAACTTTGTATATTCGCGTTTCCATGAAAATAACAGGTTTCGCCATATCTTACTTACCTTTTCTTTTTCCCATTGATAGATCTTACTTTAATTTAGAAGAATTCGAATATCAAAGCATGGAGAAATGAAAAAGTCAACCCTCTCTTGTCTCAATAGGATGCCAAATATATATATATATATATATTTTTTTTAAAGGGAGGAGATGAACAAGAGTCAACACGTTTGAAGAAACTAGAGCACATGCATCGTGAAGTTTAATCCTATTCGAAGTTTGACCAACGATCATTATAACTTAAATTTTGATTCGAGGTCGCTACTTCCCTAGATTTGATATGTTGCATCATTCGGAATGTGTATTACTATTGTGATTGTTTTTCCTAAACTGATTATTAGTAAGTCAAAGCAAATCATAATAGTATCGAGAAAAGTTTTAGTGTACGTGATCTTATATATATCCGGACACAAGTGTAGTAAGACATCAAAAATATTCCCTCGAGAAGAAAAAGAAGAAAAAATAATATATTTTAAAAGAGGAATTTCAATTATTACAGGAGCTTTTGACCCATGCATCGTCAATAAAATGCGACATGGAGCTATTCTGATATTATTATTAAGATCATGGCATCGAATATATTCATCATTCAATTTCTAAGGCAAAAGTAGGGTACGCCATCTAACATTGTGTTTGTCACAAGATTATAAAAATAACTCATTGCCATTAAGAAAATGTATTGTAACATTAAGTATTAAAGTACTGTGTATATAAAAATAGGTGAGTTTTTTGTTGTTGCTTTTCCGTTTAAGACAGTGATAGACATACAAAACAGAAAAAATAAAGACAGTATTTATCAGCTTTCATTTCATTATCATTTGTCGACAAAAAAAAGTAGGGAAATTATTTAATGAGCAAAGTTAAGCATCGACCAACTATGTGACAATAATTTGAATATTTAACCCAAACAAACTATGAGACAAAAACCCTTGATTTACAAAAAAAAACTTTTCCGATAGTCAATATACATATCTCATCCTGCAGGAAGTGTGTCAAAAAACTATTTATCATTGTATTAAAATGAAGGAATTTTTTTTAAAAATAATGGCTTCTGAAAAACAACCATGCAGGATAAAGTTTTCATCGCTGCTTCACTATAGTTGGCTATATATATCAAGTACGAGCATCTAAATACCTTTTAGCTATAGATTATATGCGTGGAATTATTAAATTCGCAATAACTATTGTGATGTATGGTCAATTTTAAAATCAAACACATTGACGACATATTTGTTTGCCCCATTTAAAAGGGAAACGATCACACATTAACCTGAAAACGCTACGTTCATATTGCGACACCCCGGGCCTCTCCAGGAAATCGACGTCTCAATACACAACAAAACTATTTATGACAAAGCCTCTAATCTATTTCTTTAATTTATAGTTAATTTGCCTTTATATTTGGACGTCGGTTCTTGTTATCTCACCATTTCGGATCCGTATATGACAATAGTTCGTATATAGTCTTTTAAGTTTATTTTTTTGAGCAAGTACATAGTCTTTTTAGTTCCAAGGACGAAATTGATAATGTTTGCTGTTGTGACTCGAACTTGAAGTTGGTCGTTTGTAAATAAGAACACGAAATTCAGCAAGTTTCATTTCACATGATAACTAGTTATAGCTAGTGGATACTTTCTTTAATTACATGTATCATCTAATCTTTATCATGATGACCAAATTGTGAATAAATAGCTCTAAGCTGGGGGGAAGTTGCAGTCCTTATCAAACTATTTATTGACCTAATTAAGTATCGTCTTTGGACTTATCCTCACTGACTCACTGCTTTAAGACCAAAACCGAAACAATACAAAACATTTACCTAAATAAGCATGACAAAACAAGATGCATGCACACACATATATACAAACATACATAGTCTTGTAAGGTTTTTGTTGGTTCTTTGAAAATAAAAGATAAATCTACATACATTGCTAATTACTAATTGCTAAGTTGATCGATGTTAGATCAACGACCAGGCACTTCTCTTCAGAAACATGAGAAATCTCTGATCGTTGATGTAAGCCATCGACAAGAACTTACCAACCGATGTATGGGACCATTATAGATTTTGTGTTTAATCGGATCATATGGGTTGTCTTGATTAGCCGTAAATAACTATTTTACCCTTGCCTTTGAGTTTGTCTTTGTTTATCCGGTAGGTATTATGGTCATTGTCTTAACCAGTATTCTGAACACGCCAAGTGTGGATATGTCAATTATACAACACACAGAAACTTGACACGATCAAGCGCTTTGTCGCTTTAAACCTCACACGTGGCTGAAAGCACAGCGAAGGATTGTGATCGGTCGAGTATGGAAATAAAACCGACGGCTGTAAAACCAAGTGCACCGTCTTTGAGTGCACAAGACCATAACTAACAACAAAGAATCCACCGCAAATATAAATTTGTACCTGAAGAGAATGTTTTTTTCGGCGCCAACACCAACAGTACAATCTCTGGCTCAAGTCATCACCTAAAGGTCAACATTCAAATCAATACATTTTAACTATTAAAGTTTTTTTGGGTTAAATTAATTATAAGTATATGTGTTTAATTCGTTGTGTTTATGTTTATTTGTTTACAAGTCCATGTAATACGAGTATATAGGGCTAAATACCACGAATCTTCTCTCATGAAAATATTTCACAGAGAATATTTCAATAATTATAAGAATATTCTAGTTTTAAAACATCACATTTTAGCGGCAGCCGAACTATAAACAAGTCACGATATATCATGTGGCTTTGAAAAACAATATATATATATATATATATATATATATATATTAATATGTAAATATGTGGTATGACGATTGACGACCTTGAATTAATAGCGTATAAAAATCATATAATATGAATAAAGGACTACATTTTGTAATAGAATTTTCAAATGTATGGAGGGAAATAGTAATATAGTAACTATTCTTAGCGAACTAAACAGCTAGAAGTTGAACAAATTGTATATATAGCTGTCACAGCGTCATGTAACAAATATAGGGAGGTTAGTAAACTAATGTCTAAATTATTTTGTCTCGTAGATAAGTAGTAAGTACAACGGCGGTAGACGTTATTATCTGCTTACAATGGAGTTTAATTTCTTTCACTTTTTCAGACCACGGTTGATTGATAATATTATTTTTTAATTTGTCTTTAACATGGTTGTCTTGTTAAATTAGAAACAAATAAATTAAAATAGTGAAAACGGACATGTGGACAACCCATTGGATAACTCTTTCATCGCTCCCACGTCCTTGATTAAAAAAACGTATCAAGAATTAGAAAGTGTCAAGCGGTTATAAGTTATAACTCCGTAATCTTGACTGATTAATCAAGAACTAGTCCAATACTAAAATAATGAAAAACAAATCCATGGACTACAAATTCTAAATATACACACCAAAACCGTCAATTTTTTTTATATAGCTTGAGATAACACTAAATCGAGTTATAGATTCTTATATAGCTTGAGATAAACCTATGTTTTTC